CAAGATTCAGTCGAGGGTAGACACTTTTAATCAGTGTTGAAAGATGGTGCAGAAGATAATTGTTCTGGAACTGGAGAATTCCAGGCTGTCCTGTGTGTGTGTGTATCAGGGCTGGTGTTGGCTCTTCCCAGGCCTCTTCACTTTTAAAGCTGCATGAATCAATAGTTCTTATATTAATAATGGATGAAATGACTAAGTGTAATGGTAAGGTGTCACTGGTAGTGACGAACCCACAGAGACTTATCACCCAACTCAGCAGTTCCCCTTGGCTTTTCAGCATTTTCACCTCTTTTATATCACTGCTTGTTTTAATTGCTGTGGAAGCTCTCATCAGCTTAATCTCAAGCTGTGCAGAAAGGCAGCTGTATGTTACCATTCCAGCACCAAACAGCAGGCAGTAAAATTCAGCGACTAGCAGGAGAACTGTAGTGAAACATTTAGCAGCTATATTGTCAGATATGTTTGGTCTCTACCAAAAATAGAGCTGAAAGTAGAGTGAATATTCATCAAGAGGAAAGAAACATGACTCCAGATAAATGCTAAAGTTGCTCAGTGTCTGCTGGATTTGTAAATAGATATTACTGACACGTTCGTCATAACAGCCACCCCATGATTTCTCAATCTTTTAAAAGTGTAACATTACATTGATACTTAATCGTTACATGATCTCAATCATCAGCCCGCTCTCACCCATCTCACACTGTATATTGGTAAATGACATCACTTTAATGTGGTGTGAGCTTTCATGTGTAACACCTGATCTTGTGCTCATGCTGTCATCCCACAGTATCTCCACTATGATTAATCTAAGTTGTGCCGGCGTCTTTTAAAACCCTGCATTGTCCCAGTATTGGGTTTCACCATGCGCTCTGCATTAGCTCTGCTTTGGATTCCTTCCAGCAGATCTTTTTCTAAAGGAAGTCCCTGAGGTCAGGCCCTGCCGTGCCTCTTCCTCTTCAAATCACATGTTATCTTCCAACCAATAAAGCGCTCGGCTGATGCTCTCAGCCAGTCATCTGGAGGTGTGGCTGCACAATTGATTTTCTTCTAAATCACATCAGTCTCCTTGAAACCATCTGCCATCACTTTTCTATTTTATCTAAAAGAATCCTTGTTTTATTGATCTTTCAACATATTTCTACCTTTGTTTGGTCTCTGGTATTGTCCCACTCTTATCAAGACTAGTTTTATCACCTCTGACATGATCTCTCATCCTTTGTTGAAAGGGTTAATAGGATAACCATCACCGATGACTTCTACAGAAGGCAGATGATGCTGTTCAGACTGTAAGGAGGAGGTTGATCAGTGTTTGTCCCTCCAGGAAAGAGCTACTGACTGACAGTAAATACACTCACTCTGTCCCATAAGACCTGGCACACAGAGGCAGGCTGATGACAATGTCAGCTGATGTTACTCCATGTTCTACACTTACAGGTGATCAGATTTCCTGTGCACTTGTGTGCAAACACACAGCACGTGTATAGGGTCACTTCAAGTTTGTGAAACCTAATGTGACTGAGTCATTCAATACATTAAAGAAAAAAAATCTGTGCTCAAATGAGCATTTACCTTTACCTGATGTCACCTGCTGGCCTACCTTTAATTCTTCTTTCATGCTTTCTTTCTAACCTACTCTTTAACAGTGTTGGAAGGGTTACTTTTAAAACGTAATCCACCGCAGATCACTGAGTACATGCCTTGAAATGTAATTTGTAATGTAACGTATTCTAAATACTTTGGATTACTTTTGAAATACCTCAGAATCTTCTTGCTGAGCTCATTGGTCAGGTTCTTATAATTCCATGCCAAAAACACACAACAGTGTCCTGTCTGTGCATCTCCCTTGCAAATGTTGTGTAGCAGTTGTACTGCACACACTTTATTATAATCTGTTTATTATGTCTCTCGTATAAATTCAGTTTCCACACTGAATCAATTAGATAAGCACGTCTGTTATGTCATGTAAACAAACCACATAGGCTACCTATCAGCTGTGCGCTTGACTGGAGACGTAGCTGCTGAAAAGATGGGCAAGCGCTTGCTATCTTTCTATGTTTGTACTTTTTAAACAGAAAACACAGGTTTTATATTGTGATGCTTACTGGGAATGACTTACAATACAGCCAATGGCAAGGAGGTGGTTATAAGCAATGGTCATTAACTTATACTCATCCTAACTGAGCTGCAGCTGTTCATGCTTCACCATGTTTGTCTTATTTCCTCCAATGAAGGCACCACCCTGGTTCTGCGGCACTAATTATTCATTCAGTCCCCAACTGTACCCACTTAAGCTTTCGAAACTGATCAGCAGATGGCAATCGGTCTTTATGGTATATTACCGCAGCCATCAGCACAGTTGAATATTAAATCTAATGTGGAGATACCGTGAGGGTCAGTTTCCCTCTAATAGTATCAGGCCATGCAGATAATTTTGCTTTTATTCCAGATTTTTATTGTTATTATTTTTTTTTACACCACAGAAATAGTCCCAATGATGATTGACAGTGGTCTGTGGTTTATCCAGATGGACTGGGGCATTGTTTCTGAAAGACAAAATGCTCCTCAGTTATTCCAATGTTGTTTTAGTGCTTTAAATGTCCATTCATCTCTATTGTATTTGGGTGACAGCACAAGTTTCAGAGGTAAACCACAGCACATGTATATACACTGTGCACGTCTAGACTCTACTAAGGGTTAGTAAGAAAATAGGTTTTTCTTTTGGGTTAACTGACCTTTTAAAGTACAGTTTTTACAATCAGTCAGTAACATGAGTCGTTCCAATGTATGTTGATGGTAGGGCTGCACAATTAATCGTAATAAAATCGTGATCTCGATTCATATGCATATGTGATCTAATTTTTCAATGACGGTGATTCTGCCGGCCCCGCCCGGGCCGGGAGTCGGGACATCATCTGCATGAAAACAAGCCCCCTAAACGACGCAGCGTTATACCACGTGATGCAGAGTGACAGCCGGCCGGCAGTTTGGAAAGCAACAAGAGCAGGAGAGACTAGAGTCGACAAAGTGAGGAGGACCCCTTAAAAGTCAACGTACTGACACTCCTCAGACAGACAGACATACAGACAGACACACACACACACACACACACACACACACACACACACACCGGACAGCCTCTCAGTCCTTAGCCGCTAACGTTAGCTCATGTACAACACAGGTACCACACAGAAACTTTTACAAAGGGTCAAGAGTCATAATGTGCTTCTAGTGACTGTCAAATCGCCAGCGAAAGTTGTTTACACTGCAGACATGGAGAGCAGCTGCCTGCTCTCATGGGACAAAGATCCTCTGAGAAGAGAGACGGTTCACTCTGCTCTGCCGCCAGGAACAAACTGGGAGGCAAAGATCCTCTCTGAGGAAGAGGGCTCACTTTGCTGAAGGGTTCACCAAAATGGATTTTTTTTTCTTTTAATAAATTGAACACACATTAAAGAACATACAAGATCCTGTAGAGAATTAATACATATGATACAATACAATAAACATTGTCAAATTAAATGAAGGAAGAGGATTTTTTAAAAGGAAAATTAAATATTGGGGATTTATGTAAAAATATACATAGAGACATATAAATAATTATATAATTAAAGATGTAGGCTATGTTAGGTGAATACTCCTGTCAAATGCATGGTGATGAAAAGTTTAATTTTGATCTTCCTTAGTCCATTTAGACTTTATTTTATAATAACAATAACAATGAATATTATGAATTGTTCACATTTTAATTTAATTTTAATAACATTTATCACACAGCATTTTGTGGAACAGTCAAATGTTCAGTTTACAGTTTTAATAAACTCAGTACTGTTTTTCAACACATACATTGTTTTGTCTTCATTCAATGTAGTTAGCACATATTGTTATTGCGCCATTGGTTTTGGCCTTGGTGCCACACATTTTGGCCATGATGCCCCAATAAATTTGTATTTATCAAAGGCCAAAGTGGCCTTGCCCTAAAAATGACTTAATTCCAGGCCTGGAATACCTACCTCAGAAAAATGTTGTTCAACATTGATATTATTGTTAATATTGTTACAAAAGCTGTAAGAGAAGACAAGAGACTAAAGTTTATTGTTTTTACGGTCAGTGTCAGGCTGTCAGCTGTTGTATTTAAGCTAAAAACAGGAGTGTTCCCTCTCTGCTGACCAGAGTTTATGTGCCTTGTGTCTCTTGTATCAGGCACAATCATAGGTTTTGTTATTTAATGATATTTTTTTTTATTATTTATTTATAATTTTTGTTACTTTTCCTTTTGTATTAGGAAATAAGCACAATAAATCTTTATGTTGAAAAAAATCGCGAGAGAATCGTGATCTCAATTATAAGCCAAAAAATCGTGATTCTCATTTTTTCCAGAATCGTGCAGCCCTAGTTGATGGTGATTTTTTTTTAAAGAAAGTGTTCCATTTATGGAATATTACAGCATGTCTTTAGTGTGTGGTGGACTGCTTGTGGCTTCAAGGCAGCCTAGACCCAACTGAAACTTCTCCTGTGCGCTAAGCATGCAGTAAAGCTATGGTGGCAGATGCGAAAAAGCATGTGGCCCTATCTAGAGCCAATGTTTGGTTTGTCCATTCTGGGCTACTGTAGAAACAATATAGCAGACTCCATGCATGCAAGAGAACCCACTCCCTTTGTAGATATAAATGGCTCATTCTAAGGTAACAAAAAAGACTCTTGGGTGCAGGTGATTATAGACTTAGGAAAATATAGTTGTGAATATTACAATTTTCTGCCAATAGATGCCCCCAAATTCTGCACACCAGACCTTTAACTGCTGAGCATGGCAGTGAGCAGCTAACCCATTTTGTCAAACCTTTCAATGACATCACAGATGCTATATCCATACGTTTCTCCAGTCTGTTTCACTGATTATATTAAATGTGCTGTATCTAAAACAAGATTGGACAAATGTAATAGTGACATACCTGAGAACGAGAAGGTGATAAATGATATATTCTTTTTCCTGTTTCTTCCAGCTTTCTCTTGGTCTTCTCCTGTCTCATACTGTCAGTCTTTGCCACCATCAGAGAGTTCAAAAACAGCTCAGAGAGTGCCTTGTACATCCTGGTAGGTATCATTAATTGACTTGCTGTAAACCTTTGCATTCACATCAGAGGGTTAACTCCACCATTTTGGTTTGTTCCACAGGAAATTGTGACCATCGTGGTGTTTGGAGTGGAGTACATTGTAAGGATATGGGCTGCTGGCTGCTGTTGTCGATACAGAGGATGGAGAGGGAGGCTAAAATTTGCCAGAAAGCCTTTCTGTGTCATAGGTGAGATAATGGGGTCAGCTTGAGTTTTGCTGGCTGTCATTTCTGTAACCTTGCTCTACCAGAAAAACATCACACAGACACATTACTGTGTTTTTCCACTGCTTCCTTTTTTAAAGGCTGAAGGGTTTGAGTGATGATATAATAACCATTATGCATACCTGTGACTGGCAGTATATTCGTTGCCTTGAGGATATGCTCGACAAGTTGAAACAAATTTGTAGCCGTAGAAGCCTAAATGAAAATTTGACATTTCTAATGATACCCTATAAGTACTTGCAGCAGCTTTTGAATTACAAGAAAATTGACCTTCATTGCATGCAATAAAGTGTTGTTAATTCAGTCTAATTTGATCAAGGATACATTATCTCTGGCTTCCCAGGGTGTGTTGAGTTCTATGATTGTGTTTTCCATCTCTCCAGACATCATGGTGCTGATTGCCTCGGTATCTGTACTGGCAGCTGGATCTCAGGGCAATGTTTTTGCCACCTCGGCCATCAGGAGTCTGAGATTCCTGCAGATCCTGCGCATGCTGCGTATGGACCGCCGTGGAGGCACCTGGAAGCTGCTCGGATCTGTAGTTTATGCCCACAGCAAGGTGACATCAGTTTGTTGTTTTTTCTGTAGAGGTTCAGGAAGAGTTGACCAGTCTTATACTGAAACACCTTTCTCTAATCTGTGATCAGAGAGTTGGTATTATTAGCAAGACATGAGGTGTTTGAAACCATATCTGCAGTCTGACTACTGTAGTCAATTAACTACACTGACATTTCCAGTCACAGGTTTTTCAACCAAAAAATTAATAGTAGATATAGTAATTACATCATATATCATATCAGGTCTTATTTGTCATATTATTATTATTGATATAATATAGCATGTCAACTAATACCAATTAATTTAATTCAATTCAATTCAATTTTATTTATAAAGCCCAATATCACAAATCACAATTTGCCTCACAGAGCTTTACAGCATACGACATCCCTCTGTCCTTATGACCCTCGCAGCGGATAAGGAAAAACTTCCCAAAAAAAACCCTTTAACAGGGAAAAAAACGGTAGAAACCTCAGGAAGAGCAACTGAGGAGGGATCCCTCTTCCAGGACGGACAGACGTGCAATAGATGTCGTACAGAACAGATCAGCATAATAAATTAACAGTAATCCGTATGACACAATGAGACAGAGACAGTAGAAGTATGACTAATGACTAATGATGGCAGCAGCAGCAGCAGGAGGCTTCTGGCAGGACCACGGCAGCAGCACAACCACACACGTCACACAGTCCAGGCACCGCTGCGATATGAGTTAATCTGAGAGACAGTGGAGCACAAAGGCTCCGGAGAAGAAGCCGAGTTAGTGACATCCAGAACTGCAAGATGCAGTAATAGAATACAAGAGAGAGAGAGAGAAGGAGAGAAGGTACCCGGTGTGTTATAGGGGGGTCCTCCGGCAGACTAGGCCTAAGTCAGCCTAACTAGGGGCTGGTACAGGGCAAGCCTGAGCCAGCCCTAACTATAAGCTTTATCAAAGAGGAAAGTCTTAAGTCTAGTCTTAAATGTGGAGACGGTGTCTGCCTCCCGGACCGAAACAGGAAGATGATTCCACAGGAGAGGAGCCTGATAGCTGAAGGCTCTAGCTCCTGATCTACTTTTGGAGACTTTAGGAACCACGAGTAACCCTGCGTTCTCAGAGCGCAGTGTTCTGGTGGGATAATATGGCACTATGAGCTCTCTAAGATATGACAGATCTTGACCATTTAGAGCTTTATAAGTTAACAGTAGGATTTTAAATTCGATTCTGGATTTTACAGGGAGCCAGTGCAGCAAAGCTAAAACAGGAGAAATATGATCTCGTTTCTTAGTTCCTGTTAGTACACGTGCTGCTGCATTCTGAATTAGCTGGAGAGTTTTTAAGGACTTACTAGAGCTACCTGATAATAGAGAGTTACAGTAATCCAGCCTAGAGGTAACAAAAGCGTGGACCAATTTTTCTGCATCTTTTCGGGTCAGGATAGGCCTAATTTTCGCAATATTACGCAGATGAAAAAATGCAGTCCGTGAGGTTTGTTTTAAATGAGAATTAAAAGACAGATCTTGATCAAATATTACTCCGAGGTTTCTTACGGTAGTGCTAGAGGCCAGAGCAATGCCATCTAGAGAAACTATGTCATCAGATAAAGAGTCTCTGAGTTGTTTGGGGCCAAGAACAATAACTTCAGTTTTGTCTGAATTTAACATCAGGAAATTGGTGCTCATCCAAGTTTTTATGTCTTTAAGGCAGTTATGGCAGTTTAAGACCCCCCACTTCCACAGCAAGTTTCTCCACAATAACTCAATGTAAATACTGTGAAAACAGGCTAAATTATTTTCACCCAGAAAACATGCAAAGGGGGTGAAATTAGAATTCTTTTTTCAGCCCTGAGTAATATCTATAGGCTTCCTCTCAAGCTGTATACAACTTCAACAACATAAACTGTATTAAATTATGGATGTAGCCACACTGGACAGCTGGACTTCCATTTTGGAGCCTCGAGTTTGGCATTTTGGCTGTAGGCATCTTAGAATTTTGGAGCCAGAATAGACCATATTTAAAGGAGAGGGGGAAGATAATGCTAATGCTAGCTGCTAGCTTGGTGAGCACAGTGCATTTACAGCCATGGTTAACTGTCATAATGCTAGTGCTAATTTTTGTTTGCGAGAAACCCATTAAAACAAAAATATATTTACCAGAAAGACTGCATATCCAACTCCTTTAAGAGTCTTTTATTTCAACCAAACGCAAAACAAGTCTTTTAGAAGACCAAAACCATCCAGTTAATTTTAATTAACTGAAAACACTCTGAAATAGTGACAGCCATGGCTAGGTCTATACTCTGTGAACCTAGGGTTACACCATAGTTAGGTTACCAATGTTGTTGCCGTTGTAGCGACTTGTCATGACGGGGACATTGATTTGCATGAAACATGATTATTTCCGCTGTAGAGTTGGGCATTTCAAGATGAGGGTTTATGGAGAATGAGTTGCTCTTTCCTCCATTGGCGGAACTGTAGTTTCTGGCACTTATACATTGGCTTCATTTTTAGCCCCAGAGGTTGCCACATGCTCAACAATCCCTATAAATAGGCTAAGACAGTCTGTATGTTGCCTGAGCAACCCAGGGCAAAACCAGGATATTGAAAGGTGAGGGAGACATCCCCAGTAGAAATGATGTCCTTGGGTTGCAAAAAAATGATGGACTGCTGCCGTCTTTTTGATCAAGCTGCTAATACATTATGTCACCACCTTCACTTTCTTCAGCAACATTCACTTTCCCTGGAATCATGCCATCACTCATATGTCACTACATGCATGATAATAACCATTTGAAGAATTGAATTGTTGGCCAAAAAGATGATGAGGTGTATGGGTCTCTGCACAAGTTTACATCTAAGTCTGAGTCGCTAGTATTCAAGTTTAACTGTAGACAGCATGGGCTTTATACCATCTGAGTTGAAACTGAAAGTAGTGCAGTTCTTTATTTTGCTACTTCAGTGACACACTGTTTCCAGTCGCACCTCTTGCAAGTAACTCTGTCATGGTGAGGAGACACATTTCTCTCAGTTTTATTTTAATGAGCTTTGAAATAGAATTATAAGCCTGCACTAATAAGCTGTGGAAAATGTGCAACTGTGTGTATATGTGAGTGTGTTTGTGTGATGCGGTAAGAGGGAGAGAGGGCGGCTGTGTATCATGCATCGAGGGAAATAAAGACGTTTATGAAGTACTTGGTTTGCCACAGAGGGCAAGCAACTCACATAATCATGTCCAATATTATTACAGAAAGGCCATTTTTACCAATTTACAGGGGTTACATCACCACTTTGAAATGCATCCGAGATGACACTTTATTGCTTCAGATTCCCTGATGCTCATTGTATTGGTTTTCCCTGCAGGAGCTCATCACAGCGTGGTACATAGGCTTCCTTTGTCTTATCCTGGCTTCATTCCTGGTCTACTCAGTGGAAAAGGAGTCAAATGAGGAGTTTGAGACCTATGCTGATGCTCTTTGGTGGGGACTGGTAAGACTTAACTGGAAAGAAACACATAATAAAAACTTCAAGAGACTGGTATCCACATTATAGCTTTGAGAATAGTGTCTCCAACCTGTACTACATCACTCAGATCAAGCAGTGACTGTAATTCATCTTTTCACCAGATCACTCTCACCACCATTGGTTATGGCGATAAGGTTCCCAAGACCTGGAATGGACGCTTGCTGGCAGCCACATTTAGCATGATTGGAGTGGCCTTCTTTGCACTTCCTGCTGTAAGTATAAGGGCTCATTAGGGGCATCTTGAACCCAGTGTCGTTGGCTGAAGACAAAGCTTAAAGTGCTGATTTGTAAGAGCCTTGTTTGTGTTCATTTAGTTTCTGTCCTTCATGGTGTTAAGTGCTTATCGATGTGGTGTTGCTGGTCTGCAACTCACCAAGAAAGAGTGTGTCCACTCAGTTTTCTTTTCGTTTGAGTCAAACAAAGCATCAGTTACATGATTTATTACTATGGAAGGCACCAGACTGAATATTTGTACCAACTTTGATGAAATGAAAAACATTGTTGTATTATAGTTGGCATTGATCTATACTCAAGAGTGGCACATTTGTTCTAATTTATATTAAACATTGCAAATTATTTATTCAAAGCTGCACCACTCAATGTTCTTACATTGAGAATTTATGAGAATTGACCAATCCTAAGTCCTGCTTCCCTTAGTTATTGTTGCTTAGTCGGACAGGCTTAACAAAAAGGAGCATGGTGATACTGGTTAAGTTCAGGCCAGTGCTGCAGTACCGCAGTACTTGTAAGACTTTTCTGGGTGTCAGGGAATACAGCCTCAGGAAGCCGACAGCAAGGACTACAGTATGTGATGGAAGTATATATTCACAATGTTTACTTAAATGGACAAGGCAAAATGATGCAAATTGAGGCTTCATCAAAAACAAGGAGAAGTGATCCAAGGATGACAAGACTAATGTTATCAGTCAACATTGCCCCCGCAGTGCTGAGTATGTGTCGCCTTTTCTCCTTCTGGGGATGAGTAAAGTACTCTAATGTATTTATTGCTATTGAATACATAGCTGTGGGTGGCACCCTCCTACAGTCACAGCATTGTCACCTCACAGCAAGAGGGTTCCCCAGGGTGTGTGGAGTTTGCATGTTCTCTCTGTGTCAGCGCGGGTTTTTCTCTGGGTACTCCGGCTTCCTCCCACAGTCCAGCGACCCCTAATGGGATAAGCAGGGACAGAAAATGAATGAATGAATGAATCCGTAACATGGCGCTGACCTACTGTAAAAAATACGTCAGCAACCAAACTCTCTGTCCTTTTCCAAATCTCTTTAAAATTACCACAGAAATAAGGAGGAAGCCAACCTGCCTGATGTTGGTCATCTGACATTAGCTAACTCCTCTTGATGTACGTTATAGGTTAGGCGTTATGTAGCTAACATAGTTAGCTTACTTAAAATGTGGCTATATACATTATAATGTATAATGTAATGAGGATCATGACAGTCCCCATAGCCACAATGAGTCCTAATACACAGGAATGAGTTAGCATTTCTGCATTCCCAGCTCCCTCGTCCTGAAGTCAACGTTTTTTTTAATGGGTTTTTAGTTAGATTCCTAAAATAAGGTCTGTGGTTAACACAAGCTTAAGAGACTTTCACTGTTTCTTCTACAACATAAAATACACCAATAAATAACCTACTCGTTAATTTTTGAAGCATTTATTTGTCTTAGATAAGGCAGTTGCTAAGAAGTGGCTAAATCAGACAACAGAACATCATCACACCGAAAATGGCTTTGAAGTATTGCTGTAGGGGCGACGTCAAGTCACGCGACCATGGTGTAGTTTGTTTATAACTTGACACTAGCTTTTTATTTCTGCTGATTGCATTTAGGCTTTAAAAATCGAAGATTATTTTGCTGAGCAAAGTATCATAAATGTTTATTTGCCACAGAGCTTATTTTCAGCAATAATACAGAATCCAGTGAAAAAGTGGGCAGCAGGGCACCAGAGCAAAAAGGGGCAGGACCAAGAAAGTGCTAATTTTCACCAACTCTGCAGTTCTGTGTAGCTCTATGAAGCATTTTAGCATCTTTCTGCTCATTGTTGTAGTTTTACTGCCTGCAACTTTAGGCAGCTGTTTTGGTTCAGTCTTTGCGCTCTCATGACCTATCACCACCATCAAACCACTGTACACTACCAGCCCAGCAAACAGCAGACAGACAAAGTCAGCAGCTAGCTTGTGAACATAGTGAAGCACTCGGCAGCTAAAGAGACACATACGGTATTTACTTCAAGAGTTCATGGACACCAAAAACAGAGCTAAAAGGAGGACAGGACTCAAAATGCTAATGTTAATGATGCTCCATGTCTGCTGGATGTGTAAACAGGCAACTGTTTGTTAGCACAATGTCAGGTTAATAAGGTAACATGTCAGTGTTGTGTTTAAGCTTGCTGCGCTGCAACTGAGTGGCCAAAAAAGGGGGCTCTATGCAAAGTTCAGAGACTATGGGTTATCTGCACATGGTTCTCAATATGGAGGTGGCTGAGCCGACGGCTGGCAGCTATTGGTGCTAACTCAATAAATGGCGCTAAATGAAGGCAACAGTGCTGACAGAGCTGACAGTGTTAACCGGGGGGGAACAGGAGGGTGGGTGCTATGCTTGTGTGAAGATGCCAATCCTAATATCAGTAGTAAAGCCATATGAGCATAGTGGAAAGCGGCAGCAATGAGCTAGGGAGTGGGATACTTGAGTATGCTGCCAGACCAGCTTACCACAACAAACCACAAAGAAGCTCAAAGTACAACACACACAGAGGTAGCATGACTTCATCATCTGCTCAACATGCCATCACTTCACTATATCTTTACATAGCGGTTTGCAGCTATGTCATTACTCTGGACAGAAGATGCAAAATGTAAGATATTTGTTATTGTAATAACAAATAAATTAGTGAAGAATGAAAATGAAGTTTTTACATGAAAGGTTTTTGGTCCTTGGTTAATAATAGTGAAGAAGTACAGAAGTAACGGACATTTTTCACAGCAGACATTTTGAGCTATCACAGCAAAGAGAGCACACATGGAACCAATAAAACTATCGATTATGACTCAGTTATATTTACCTGTCTCTGTGAACCAGCAGACATGATACCAGGGCCCTGGACTTTGAGCATCTAAACAAAATGCAGCCATTGTTAATATTATTAATTACACCTGTGCTTCTCTTGTTATGAAATGCCTTCTATGATATATTGTAAAGGGATGTGCAGTACTTTATATGATATTGTGAACCTCTGCCACCTAATTACTTTTCTTTATGACCCTACTCTAGTCTCCCAGATAAGAATGCACTCAGTGAGCCAGTCTGTTGCATCAAGTTTGTCCTCTGTGGTACTTAGACTAAAAGCTTCCTCTGAATCTGCAAAAACTCTGCTCATTTTCCCCCTTTACATTCAGAAAGCTCACATCTCATGGTGTCATAATTCCAGTCACTGATGTATTTGTTAGTTGCTGTTAAATGTTTAGCGTTTTACCTGAGACTTGCAGATGTCAGACTCAGCAGTAAGCTTTTGAGTAGGCAGCTAAGACCTGTTCATTCTATCACATACAAAAAAACTGTGGACTGCTGTATCAGCACTCCGTCAACGGCAAGGTGGGTGCACCTTGACTTATGTTGTGCATGGAGGAAATCAGCTCTCACAGCTCTATTACCTTGAGGCTTTGAAAACATGTGGAAGTGTGTGATGTCACATAAATGTTTTTGTTGGATTTGCTTACTGGTCTCTGTTGTGGAAGTGTTCTACAAGGTGTCGACACAGTTGTTGCAATTCCAACTCCTGTAGAAGTCAAAAAAGGTAACAGATCACTTTATGGGCTCTCTGTGTCACACTGAATCTGTACAGGGCATCCTGGGTTCTGGCTTTGCCCTCAAAGTGCAAGAGCAGCACAGGCAGAAACATTTTGAGAAGAGACGCAACCCTGCAGCAGGCCTCATTCAGGTATCTGAAAAAACTGTACGGTGACAACACCATATACACATTTACTGGAGTATTCTCTGTTTTGTGATCGCAACAAATGTTAAAAAGACTTTTTTTAAATTCCTTGATCCAGGCTTCTTGGAGGTTTTATGCGACCAACCTTTCCCGTACAGATCTGCTGTGCACTTGGGATTTTTACGAGCAGACTGTAGCTGTTCCAATGTACAGGTAAGTGATGAAACTATCTGAATAATGCTGTACATTATTCAGCATTTGCAATAAATACAACTATTTTCCCATATCACATTTTGCCATCTCTCTTAAAACTGAGAAGCTCAGTTGAAAACTGAACCTACAGAGTATCCTCATCTTATTGTAATCCAAACTTTTGAACTAGATACTACTGTCTGTTGTGGAGAATCACACACTGGTGTGACTTTTCACTTTCTGCTTTAATAAGGGTAATTTTACAGTGAGGCTGGTCTCTTGGCAGTCACACCAGAACCTCTTTGAAATGCTGTTCAAAAGACAAACACTGCCAGTGACTACTTTGTGAAATTATTATGCAGTCCAACTGTATGAATCAGCAAATAAGCTGCCATGCTTGACTTTCACTACGCAGATTTCTGCCTTTTCTGCGTCTAGAAGAAGAGATCACTGCTTGTCTGTTCTGTTTAGAAACGTCTTAATGTTCATTTCATTCCAGTAGTAATTTGAGGTGAAAAGGTGATGACCAGCAAAACAGATAACTGCCAAACTAAATGGAATTAGCTTGAAAGTGCCCGACAGCGAGCTTTAACCTTCCAACACTGAGTTGATCAAAGTGACTTGACAGAAATGCTCTTTTGTCTTTTCCCAGACTTATTCCACCTCTGAATCAGCTGGACCTGCTGCGGAATCTGAAGGGCAAGTCATTCAGGTATGAACATGACAGTAACAAAGCTGCTGCTGATGATGATCTCATGATGACAAGGATGCTGAGCCGCTGATAATGGGAATAATAGTGATGATCATAACAGTGAAGCAATAAACTTGGAATATAAGACAGATTTGAAAAAAGAACAAGAAGCTACACTAATCAATATTATTATATTAAAGCAATACTTCCCCCACATAATGATCTTTTGTACATAAAATACTCACCCTGTGTTACTTTGAATTCATGAAGAAAACTTTGTTTTCCTTGTATGCCTCCCTGGAGGACGAAGAATCCAAAAACTGAGAAATTGAAGTAAAATGGGTCAGCTTTTAACAACAGCAAAACTCTAGCAAAAGATCTGTTTTAACTCTCACACAAATTGTGCAGCAAAATCCAAGTCTCATTTATCCAGTCATATCCTCAATACCTACCAAATACATGCATTTGCTTTATTCTCCAAACCTTACTGTTATACGAATGGTTATCATATGGGTAACCTTTAACAAGGCTCCCAATTATTATCAGGCAACCAATCAAAATACGAATAACAAACTGTGACAATGACACTGTTGAACACAGTGGAGCTTTAGCAAGCTGAAGACCCAGTTAAATTTCTCAAGATTTGGTGAAAACCAAAACAATTAAAAGAGAAAATATATTGAGCTGACATTTTTAATGTTACCAGAAAACTCCTGTTGCTGTTGTTAAATGTTGCGCCATGTCTAACTGAATCAACTTTGTAAGACTGAAATGTGTCAAATATTTCAGCTTGCTGTGGCTTTAAAGTGGCTATAATCAATATTTTTATATAACAATAGATCAAATGACTATGTGTAATGTGGAAGGGGCTGCTCACAGTGACAAAACCACAGAGAATTACCACTACAGAGCTTTATAGTGTCTTCCATTGGTTTGGTTTTCTGGCCCGCAACTGAACTTCTTTGTTTCACTCAACACAGTCTTACAGTTACAGTGATCAGCACCAGATGTTACACAGACAAAGTTAGCAACTAGCTAACTACTTCAGCAGCTTAAGAGCTGGGTGTTTCCAATAAATTAGTGGAGACCAGAAACTGAGTTTCAAGAGAGGAAATGTTGGGCTTTCATTTAGATGAAGCCAACCTCAATGTCAAATGATTGCTTATATATTGTTCCGTGTATCTGCTGGATGTACAAACAGGCAACTGTTTGCTAACAAGTTCACCATGTTAACTTGATGAAAATATTTCAGCGGTGTGTTCACAGCTTGTTTCTGTTGCCCCCAAGTGGCCAAAGAAATCAATTATTGCAGGGTTACACAGATTATAATTTTCACACATATCCATATTTAGTGATTTAAGTGCTGGCATTGGATTGTATCTTCTGTTTCTTGGTCTTGTTTTACATATAGATTAAATTTCCAGCAGCACAGCTTTATCATCTCGCAGCTCAACTTATTATTTCTCCAGACATGATCCAGTGCTAATCCAACTGAAACAACATGAATGATGTTGATTATGACATACAGTGTCACACACTCTGACACATGACTTGCAATGTGTAACAGTTGGTGTGTCCTCTTCTCACAGGAAGGAGTCTCAAACAGAAACTTCCCCCAGGTCTGTGATCTGATAGGTTTTTATCCCTCTTCACCTCCCTTTGGCTTCACTCCAAATCTGCTCTTAGCTGCTGCTGAGGCACTCTTCTTGGGGGAGTGTGTGTACAGTATATCTGTGTGTGTGTGTGCGTGTGTGTGTGTGTGTGTGTGTGTGTGTGTGTGCGTGTGTGTATGTGTTTGGGGTTATTGTCAAGTCCTGCGTGTCAGACATGGATGTGGCTGTCTGTTAAGCGCCTCCTTCAAGAACGGTCATGCTGCATTTGCTCACATGGTGCTCAAAGATCAGCTCACTTTGGCTTCACTCCCACTTTCTTAAATGATCACCAATAAGCTGTTCTTTGATACTCTGGCTTTCAGCATCGCCTTGGGATAAAAAAAAAAAAAAAGTGATTTTGAACACTTTAAGAGCCTTGCTTGATTTTGATCACACTGTTTTTGACAAAAGAAACAAGTGTAATTATTGACAATGTCGTAACACTTTATCATGACTTTGTTCTTTATAAGCATTTGCATATTTTGTGCTTAACTTACAAAAAAAGTCAGCTTCAAAACATAATTAGAAAGCCACTAGTAGACATTTAAATTAATTCCACATGTGGAAAATTAACAGACATTCATCTATTTATAAGTGTTAATTCATGATATAAAACAGTTGCAAATGAATTATAAATTATTGTTACAATAAAGTGTTACTGGCATCACAGTATGACACACACTGCTGTTATTGTGACTGTATCCACTGCTACTATATCTTTTTGTGTCTCCTCTACTGCCCGCCACTCCAGTAATGAAAATGCACACAAAGACAGACTTTGCGGGTGCTGTCCGAGAGCTATTAGGTATAGTTGCTGCACAGAAACTAACAACTGCACTGCAACTCTCGTGTGTGTGTCTCCTTCCATTCCTGCCTCTGTTCCTCTCCTTCTTTAAACACAAGTAAAGGTAGAGGAATCACAGTATAAGGGCTTTTTTAAAAGATTATATGTAACAGTGAACAATACAATCTGACTTTACTTTTTACAGTCTAATGCAGCTCTGTCGATGTCTACATTAAAGAGCTAATCTGCCCATCTTTTTCTTTTTTCTCTGGAAAAAAATATATATTTACATCCTTGTTTACCGCCCTGTCACAGTTGATTTATGGTTTCTGTTTAGTAATGTCTTTATGCACTTGATTTGCTTGCTGCCTTTTCTTTGCCTAATCAGCACTTCTGTTCAGCAGGCCAGGTGCATATTGCTGAGTACCTAACAATGCGTTTCCTTTGACCAATTCCCGTGTATGAGGCGGAGCGTACAGTACGATGGTGAATTATTTTGCATGATTTGTGTTCACTTTTTGCACACAGTGAGACCACAGCTCTTCCTTTTTGAGACGTGCAGTGTCACTTTGCTTCCCATGCATGCTTGCTTGTAGCTTCCTGCTGCTTGCCTGACCCACTGAATGCTCCACTGTGTTCGTATGTGGACATGGCTCCTTCTGCTGTAGGACATTGCCCATTTTGCATTGCCACCGAGGTAAGATTTCTTATCACATCAGCGCTGAAATCGACAAATTCCCCAAGATTACACTTAAAGCAACGCAGCAGTAGGATAAAGACATTTAGTTACAGATATTTGTGCACTTTGATTTAATGATGCTGTAAAAACAAACTATTAAATTGGTTACATTTCCCTTCTCATTACCTGCTCTCTGTAGTCGAAAGGCCAGCCTGAAGGACAAGGTGTTCCCCAGTCCTTCCAAGGCCCCGGTGGCCAAGGGGAAAGCTCAGTCTCCAGGGGCAGATGATGGGGCCGAGGCGAGTCCCAGCAAAGTCGCCAAGAGCTGGAGCTTCACTGAGAAGAACCGAGGGCCAAAGACCGCCTTCAGGGTCCGGGGCAGCACCTCACGCCAAAACTCAGAGGGTGAGGAAACTCCACACAGTAGAGAATAATGAGTCTTAGAGTATGGACTAGGGTTTGACACATATGGAGTCTTGAAGCATAGTACCACTACGACTACTTTTGTTTTAGGAATAGCAAATAGATGATTATTCATAGCAAAATAGATTATATATTCCCTCCATAACTGTCTTCATGTTAAAGTGGAAAGTCTCTGAAACAGCATTTAAACCTTCACAAAACACTTTAAATAGTTTGCAGCTGTTTCGGGAAATAGCTCGACATTTTGGGAAATTGGCTTATTCGCCTTCACGCTGAGAGTTAGATGAGAAGATCAATATCTGAAAGGTTAAAAGAAGGCGGTCACCCTTATGTTACAAAGGTGCTTTGTTCCCCAGCTCTATATTCTTATCCTATAACACACACTTTACATCTGTCTTCCTAGTGATTTAAAAGATTTACAAATGTTTCTTGATATAAACTACCATTGTCTCAGACTGGTAATGTCTATCTGCACAGTTCAAATTGAATGGTAAAAATCTGTTCAGCCATTTTGCAGATATCAAGGTCTAAAATCAAGAAAACTGTCTTGCCCACAAATTTGAGGGCGTAGATTTTAAGGAGTGTCAAATCTATGGGTTAGCTTAGCTGTGGCTGAATGATGACCCAAGAAACACATTTTGAACATATAGGAATGAATGGTCTTAATGTATCATATTAAGAGGATACTGAGCTTGCGAACAAGGGACCCTGTGAACAACGCTCCCAAAAAGATGACGGAGATAGTTAGCTTAGCTTAGCATCAAGAATGGGGGCGGTAGTAAACAACTGTCTCTGTCCAAATGTAGCAAAATCCACCCACCAGCACCAAGTGGCAACGTCTGGGGCTGAAAAATGAAGCCAACGCCAAAGTGCCAAAAACTGCAGTTTCTCTAATGGCCACTTAAAGCTGGCTACAAGAACAAGTAATTTCCCATAGACCCCCACGTCAAAATGCCCAACTTCACAGCGGTTACAAAACGGTTTTGGTCTTGAAAGTGAATTTTTTCCCTTCATGACAGCTGTGCAGGGAGTAAATTTTTACATAACTCACCCATTTAAATGTTACTAAGGCTTAAAGTTATACACAATTCCGTCCGTGGCCCCTGCACCTTGCTCCTCTACTCCACCCTCTTGTAAGTATAAATTAAATATGGTCACTTCTGGCTCCAAACATCTAAGATCTATGACACCTGTAAAGCTCACTAAATATATCTTGTTTGTTTTAATTGGAAAATAAAAAGAGCAGCATGCAGTTCTAGAACATAATCCCCTTTGTGAAACCACAACTTGTCTAACTTGTCTATACCTTCTGCTTCAACTTTATATTCAGCATGAGAGGGGGAGCATTTAAGAACGGAGGATGTGGGATGCTGTACAGATCGTAAGGGCCCTTTCAAGCAAAATTGTGTTTTGTGATTCTTGGCTGTAGAAAGAGACTTGACTGTCAATCTTTTCATCTAACATCCCAGCAATCTCCAAAAGTTCAAGCTGTTTCTTTAAGCCAATATCAGCTGCTTCGTGTTACATTGTTGAGAAACTGAGCTCCTTTACGATGTTTGAAATGAAGATTAATATTTCACACAACTGTGGTGAACAAGAGGTCTCTAATATATTTTGCTGTGCACACAACAAGCCTTCATAAAAGGAAAATGCACGGTGTCCAGTATTTTAGAAAACTAACATATTCATCTAATTTTAGTGGAGACATGAAGTCAAATCTACCCTTTAGTAACGCTTTTTGTGTAATTTAATCTATTGGTGATGAGATCACAAGCTACTGTTAATGGATCTTTCCACAGTAATGAATTTAGTTGATGTGGACGGATTTACATCACAAAGCTTTGTGTGGCTGTGTGTGGCTCCATGCCAGCTGAAGGCCAAAATGTCATCAGCTATGTGTTTTTAGAGGGAGGAGTTGAGGGCTCTTAATTAATTACAATCGAGCCTCTTTAAGATGCAGTCATTGTGCAGACTGTGCAGAAACTGTCATGCAGGTAATGTTGCTGTAAAGTTTCTCCTACATGTATTCAAACATACAGACAGGGGTTGCATTTGAAATCACATACTTAGGCACTGCATATTACATACTCAAACCGTATGCACAGCATACTGCATACTATATTAACAATTGGCTTTGCTATGACTGACAACCTGTTCACAAGGAAGTACACTCATGCAGTATGTCTTGTCTGTATCACATAACTTTATCGATCATGATGTTAACAGTCTGTGCTACAGCTGAGTAAAAATTGTTTTTCACAAATGGAACTTGTATCCACAAGATAATGACCTTGTTCCCACAAGATAAATACCTTATTTCCACAACATAAATAACTCATTCCCACAAGATAATGAACTTGCTCCCACAAAACAACAGCTTGCTCCCACAAGATAATTTACTTGTTCCTGGAAGATAATTAACCTGTTCCCACAAAATAATGAACTTGTTCCATCAAGATAATTAACTTGTTCCCACATGATAATTAACTTGTATTCACAAGATAATTAACTTGTTCCCACAAGATAATAACTTGTTCCCACAAGATAATGAACTTGTTCCCACATGATAATTAACTTGTATTCACAAGATAATGAACTTGTTCCCACATGATAATTAACTTGTATTTACAAGATAATGAAATTGCGCCCACAAGATAATAACTTGTGCGCACAGATGAATAACTTGTTCCCTCAAGATTATAACTTGTCCACACAGATTAAGAACTTGTTCCCACAAGAAAATTAACTTGTTCCCACAACATAAATAACTTTCTCCCACAAAACAATAAAGTTGTTCCCATCAGATAATTAACTTATATCCACAAGATAATTAATTTGTTTCCTCAACATAAATAACTTGTTCCCACAAGATAATTAACTTGTTCCCACCAGCTAATTACCTTGTTTCCACAACATAAATAACTTGTTCCCACAAGATAATTAATGTGTTCCCACTAGATAATGAACTTGTTCCCACCAGATAATTACCTTGTTTCCACAACATAAATAACTTTTGCAGACAGATAATAACTTGTTTCCACAAGAAAATGAGCTTGTTTCCACAAGATAATTAACTTGTTCCCACAAGAACATTTAACTTGTACCCACAATATAATGAACTTGTGCTCACAAGATCAAAAATGATTATCTTGTATGCACAAGGTAAGTCACCTTTTGGAACTTTAGGGACTCCGTACACGTTACCTCTTCCATTCAACTCAAAATTTTTCCAGTATTATATGATGGCAAATGAAAATAATAAATAATTCAGAAAGTACATTATATATGTGAGCTCCTGCATTGTTTTCTCTTGACTGTACCCGATCACTCGCCATCATTCGTGATCATTTTATCCAGCTGTTATTTATTTTAACTGTATGCCTCACAGTCCGCCATTGAATAGTCTGAGGATCTGCAATACGTTTTGGGGTCTTTGAGTATGTCCAGTAAGCTTATGTTTCATACTTAGAAATTCTTGCTAAGCCAGTATACACCCGTGCCTTTCTTGTGTACACAAAATCCACATACAATGCAGTATGAAAGCACTACATACTCAATTTTATGTCACACTTAGTATGTATAGCATGTCAGTATGCCATTTCAAACAGACCCAGGGAGGAACATTTCAACATTTTAGGTCTGTTGGTTTTGGATGTTGGTGTCCAGCCATCATTTGCTGCTAGACAGCCCAGCTGCATCCATATGTCATCCAGGCCACTGTGTCACTATCAACAAATATACTTCTCTCCTTCACCATTTCTTTGCCTTTTTGTTTGAACCAATTTGAACCAATTCTCATTAGCTGTTTTTCTTCTTCCGCTTCATGGCATGTTAAAGTGCTGATTGAAATGCAGGATGAAGACACTGGACTGAAGAGTTCTCCAGGTTAGACAAGTCATCATGACATGTCTTCAATTTAGACTGTGATATACTCTGTAATGTATATTGCTGTATAGTTTTTACCATACATGTTATATTAAGATTTATAATATATGCAGTTTGGTAGGTGTAAATGTAAGAGAAGAGAGACCAGTCCTTTCAAACATGAACCAGAAATCATTCAGTGGACTCCACAAGTTCCCATGTTTGGAATTGATTTGTCTGCCATTGTCATCCTGCTAGAATCCATAACAAATCTTTCTCCATGTCTCTCCTCTCTCTCTCTTTGCAGCAATTGAAGGTTTAATAAGTAAGACTTTGGGATATTTTGTTGGTTGGCTATTATGTGGGAAATAATCGAAAGAAAAGTCACTAGTCTGAGAATCCTGCATGTTGAAATCTGCTGAGATTTGTTCACTTGACATGAACCCTTTTAATTTTGTTTTTTTGTTTCTTATATTATTCCCCCCAGTGATGACTGAGGACTGAAGCATGAAACTAGCATGTATTTATTAGGGTTCTGAGAACTCCACACAGATGGTTATCATAGTACTTATTTACAATGGTGGTAGGCTAAGTTAATCATGGGTTCAAGTCAAGTGGTGCCAAGATAATCCAAAATTGACCCAGAGACAAAATGCCGAAAAGCCCTGCTTTATGTTGCATGAAGAGACCTCACTTTCCCTACCAGAACCTCATCTAATTTAAGATAAACTGTGATTAGGCCTTGACACCTTTGCCTGTATGCAATACATTTCAAAATCCATAGATTACAATGCTAATTTAGACTGTAATTGGTGGTGGGAAGAGAGTACTTGTCATTCAAGGTTTCAGTAAAGCTTTATCCCATCAGCACTATCCTTCAATTCTGCACCAAGTCCTTTTTTCTGTTGTTCCACAAAGGCCGCTCACTACGCTCACAAACTGGCTAACTGGCTTGAAACCAACTTGGTAATTGAATTTTGCACCTTTATTGAAAGCTAAAAGCAACAGCCCTGCTTTGCTTCTGCTGTGGTCGCTGGACGTGTAGAAGCAGATGAAATATTCTAAGATTGTCCTTGTCTTTGCTCTGTAGAGGCGAGCCTCCCAGGAGAGGAAATTGGTGATGATAAGAGCTGCCACTGTGAGTTTCTCACTCAAGAATTACCACCAGGCTTGAGGGTTACAATAAGGGCAATCTGGTAAGGACTTGCTTTAATGCCCAGTGTCAATTATGATTTGTGCTCATGACTTCTTCTTTACTTTGTGCTCATCAGTAGTGTTTTACTAGCCCTGATAGTGTTAAATTTTACAGATAAGTTTTCTTCTTTAGTTTTAGCCAACATTCATCAGTAATAATGACATTATAGTTCAAGCGAAACGTCAGTATTTATTCAACTTGAAACCTATTTTCCCATTTTAAGTGACTAATGAGCAAACTTTTTTTTGAAATGATTCCAGTATTGAGTGACAGTGCTACAGACAGCTGAAGCGAAACATGCTGCACTGCGGCATCAATGTACGTCCACTAAAAGTGCTTGTTTTTGTCACTGACAGGCTCAGATTGTTCTTATATGTGTCTGACAACATTATGGACAGGACCCTACAGAGAAATGAAAAGTTTTTCTTTACCTTTAATTTAATCCAGTCCGTTTGTTATTGTGTTTTACAAGTCTTGTGAGTTCTTGGAGGGAGAAAATAACAAACAGACCAGATCAAACAAAAAGTTTGTTTGTCAGGTCCTTTCCATAATGTTGTCAGACATTTATAATGACAAACTGAGTATGTCAGTGGCAAAAACAACAATTTTTGATGGCCGTAAATTGATGCCTCTAGTAATTACATTGCAGCCTTTGCGGCTGCCATCTGCGGCACTCTCTCTCAATAATGGACCAGTTTCAAAAGTTGTTGTTCCAGCCAGTCACTTAGACACAAAAACATGAGGAGAAAGGGTCCAGGTTGAAATTACAAAAGTTTCCCCTTTACAAATTAATCACACACAAAGTCACACAATCAGACAGATTTAAATGTCCAGGTTAGTCAGGTTAGTTTAACATACCTGGGAGAGAAAATAAAGCTGATCAGCAAAAGTATTGTTAAAACACTTTGTTGTGACCAGCAGACCAACTTTGTGGTTCAGCTTTGCCTCTGGATTATTAGTGAGAATTCAGGAGCATTCACTTTTGGTTTAAATAAAGTGGTTGGATCTAATCTGGCTTAACTGTCGACTTGTTTAGAACCTGCGTGATTGCTTTGATGCTCGTGTTTTCTTGCCCTATTTGAATTTGTTGTTATGGTTTCAGATCTCAGCAATCACTGTGGTGAGTTTAGGGGTATAACCAACAGAAAGGATGACGAAAATTATGAAAACTGAGCATGAGGGTTAATTCTTGACCTTAGACATAGTACTTTAGCAAAAATAATTTACTGGTATTTAAGTAGATTTTTCCGGAGCATTCAATCACATCTAACAGTCTTTGCCAGTGGTGTATATGACCACCTGTTATGGCCTTACCAAAGTTCCATATCCAGGTCATGTGATGTCAAGTGTGATGCAGTCAAAAGCTCTGGTTAAAGCTAACAAGAGGGATTTGATTTAAGATTATATTTGTCTACAAAAACCCATTTAAAATACCACTATATCTCAGGTTATAAAGAATTACAGTATCAGAAGGAAAACAGTTTTCAACATCTACTGTGTCAAATGATCATAATAGGCATTTTAAACTAAAGACATGTCACAGTAGGAAAAGCACGGATTAGAATTTAAAAAAAAATGTTGGCTGAGATCAAATTAGCTGCTTCAGTTCATTGTTTTTAGCAACACTTGTGAAATTTCATGAAGTCAGAATTTATGCTATGCACAACCCAATCCCTAGGATAAATGTTGGCATTGAACATTTATGCAAACCACAGTTATTTTGCATTTGTAGGCTATGTTATCATGTAGCAAACATGTTGAAACTTTACCTTTCTTTACATTTCAACAACACTGCAGTTAATGTGTGTTTAGATTTAGGCACAAAAAACATTTGATTATGGTTAGAAAAAGATCATGTTTTGGCTTAAAATACCCAATTTTGGTAGCACTTTCCCATTTGGAAATGCAGCGATGCTTCAGTCAAAACAACCACTTTTTGTGGCACTATCCTTGGCTGGAAATACAACCAAGGGTCGCTAAAAAATACCAGCTTTGTTGTTTGTTGGACTGAAATTGTGCTCACTTTAGAAACGTCAGTATATGTATGAAATGTACAAATGTAACGTATCCATTATTTGCGTAACAGTGCCAACATTTTCTTCTGTCAACTGAAAGAAAAAAGGCCTGCTTGTGTCTCTGTGTTTCTCATGAGAAAATAATGTGTCCTCTCTCAGCATCATGAAGTTTCTGGTGTCAAAGCGGAGGTTCAAAGAGAGCTTGCGGCCTTATGATGTCATGGATGTGATTGAGCAGTACTCTGCAGGTCACCTGGACATGCTGTCTCGCATTAAGAACCTGCAGTCCAGGCAAGTGAACGTTCTCTATACAGTATATTAAAGTTTTAATCTGACCCAGACTCACTTCCAGGTTGTTTCAGTGCCAATAACCTGTCTTACTGTCACGTTCACTGTGAGCCTAAATGTGAATGTCAGGATGGATATAGAGGACACATGGAAGCATTTCCAGAGTTCAATAATCTGTTTTAATTTAGTATGATAACAGAGATGTGATTCAATAATATGTTTGTGCCGGATACACACATGTTATGACACACAAGTCATTGATTTGCCTGTTTCATTTGTCCAACGACATGTGTTGCATTCAGATCTCAGTTTTATGTCTTTAACATTTGTATATTCAAATATGATTCACTCCCTCAGCTTTGAATGCGTCACAAATTCATTTTAGATTTAACATTGATGTATAATTCACATTGTCTTATGAGCTCCTCACATTTTGATCCCCTTAAGGTCTAACATGTAGAATAAATATATTCCAACAGTGAAATACATGCACTCCTCATCCACGAAGCAAGCCAGACATACCATATGTCTTGTGTGTGTGGAATATATTGAAACTTGTTCTCCATAGCTGATGTGATTCCCACGTTGCTTCATTTTGCATTGCCCTCATATCGTCTCTGTGTGCCTTGCCAGGATAGATATGATTGTGGGGCCCCCTCCCCCATCAACACCTCGCCATAAGAAGTCTACTGAAGGTCCTAGGTTAGGTTAATAGACTGCACCTTTCCGTGCAATGACCGTGTTACCAGCATTATGCTCCTTATAGTCCAAATATTGAAGCAGTCATATGCTACCTCATTATTTTGATTGACAGAACCCCTTTTGAGTTCAAGCCACTTGACCTGTCTCATTAAGCTAGATGACTGAGTTAAAGCAATGTTAAACATTTTATGTTAAATAGAATCAAGAAAAGGGTTTGATAAACTGCTTTGCGTCAAACATTTTGAGGATGTTGTCTCATGTCTCAGGGATGTTTGCCTCGTATGTCACATTATATCAGCTGCTGTCAGGAAAAGGCAAAAAAAGAAGAAAAAGCGAGACATCCCGCTGCTTTTCTCACTGAATGTTAATGAGCCGTGTCATGTGGCCTCACTCAACAGGGGTTTGACAGTGCTAGATGCTTGCTCTCATATTGGAGAGACAGAAGGAGAGCTCCCCTAGCAGGATGCAATGGAAATGAAGCATGAAGCACAACAGAAGCATGCCAAGTGATGCATTTTGGTCCTTAGACAAAATGTCCCCACTATTCACACCTTGTCACATTTAAGACTATTCTCATAATGCATGCATCCACACCATCCACCTGAAATCAATAGTTTCTCATGAAATGCTCAAGTATTAGGCCGTCATTCATTCATCCACAACATATTTCTAGCTTGATGAGTATCTCCAACATTAATGCTTTCTTTACCCAGTTTCCATGTAACAGTAGTTTACATTATGTCATCATAAACTTCTTAAGTTTAATCACATGTGGCAGAGCAGAGTGTTTTTTTTAATCTTAGATTTTACTTTTCTCAAATGCTAGAGTTGACCAGATAGTTGGTAAAGGTCCTAAAGCTGAAGGGGAGGTTGCAGATGACCCAAGCATGATGGGACGTCTGGTCAAAGTGGAGAAGCAGGTATGAATGTTTCCTCCAGCTATGTAAAAGTAGCACGAGACAGTTAATGCTGAAGCCAGTCACTGGACTGTTTGTAATTCATGTTTACATCTTTCTGGTGATCAATAGTCCACTGTAGGATTCAAGGGAATATCTGGGCAGAAATGGAATATGTTTTTTTCAAGTGCATAATCACCAAATCACCAATCACAAAAAATAACTTGTGTGTGTTGTGTTTTTATTCTGTTTATATTTACAAACAGAGTGGGTCCTCTCCCACTTAGTCTGCCATGTTGTTTCTACAGTGGCCCAGAACAGACAAACCAAACTCTGACTTTAGATAGGGCCATTTGCGTTGTTTTTGCGTTGGCCATCATAGTTAGCAGCCCCTTCATAACAAGCAGTACAGAAAAGCATATTTTTTTTTAACATGATCCTGTGTTATTCAGTGTTTTTACCGGTTTAAATCATTTGTTTTTGAGAAGAAGAGACTTCTGCTTATACTGTAGTTCCTGGAAAAAGAAACCTGCTGAATATCTGGATCTTAAGTTATCAGATAAAAAAGGTGAGAACAGATTAGCAAGTGCTGGGCTAGCGGCCCATCTCTGATAAGCTGAACAACATAGGAGAAACACTGATTTGTAACGTGAAACTGCTTTATTCATTGAATTTTACTGGATCTTGGATCTTACAGGCTAATCTGGAGATGGAACACCTTTTCAACACTGTGTTATTCTTTCTTTCTGCAGGTGGTCTGTATGGACAGGAAACTTGATTTCCTGGTCAATGTGTATGTGCAGCGTATGGGCATCCCTCGTTCGGAAACAGAGGCCTTTTTCAACTCCAAAGAGCCGTATCCCGCCCCGCCTTACCACAGCCCGGAGGAGAGCAAGCAGGAGAAGGAGGGTAAAGAAGAGGTGAAGGAGGAAAAGGAGATTCAGACATGCTCAGCTGCAGATGTCCCGTGCTCTGATGGGTCTTTAGAAAAAAAAGATCCTTTACTGGGTCGCTCTGTGGCGAGATCAGTGGGTACTCCTTCTGGAAGTCACAGTCGTCCCTCTACCTCCTGGCAGCACCAGCTGCAGCACCCACTCAGCCAGCCTGCCTGGAACAGCAGTGTGGCCAACACACCTTCACCGGTCGGTGGCAACGGCGATCATTCGCCCACCCTGTTCCGCCTTCCGCCTCCACCTGCTCCAGTTCACGACCGATCCTCCTCTGGCCAGGGTGGCAGCGGCAGAGATAGCTCCCAGAGCAGGAGGCGCCACAGGAGGCAGAGGTGTCAGCAGGATGCCACCGCCGTGGAGAGCGACACATCTCTATCCATCCCGTCTGTTGACCATGAGGAGCTGGAGCGCTCCTTTAGCGGCTTCAGCATCTCCCAGGCCAAGGAGGACTTCTTTGGGCCTTCTTTCTTTACAGGCTCAGGAGGGGTTGCTGGAGCAGGGACTGAGGCCGCAGCTGGACATTCCCTCTGTGCTAGGGTCAGACCCTTCATAGCAGAGGGAGAATCAGACACAGACTCTGACCTCTACGCTCCCTCTCCTCTGTCCTTCACTGGAGAGGTTGCATCGGGAGACAGGGCATGGCCAGGACTGAAGTAGGCCTGGAGGGACTGCTCCGCCTGTCAGAGAGGCTCGTGGTGAAAGAGATCGGTGCTTCAATTGGCATCAGGAGACCTATCATGAGACTTTGTAGCCAACTGACTGACTGTTGCTGCTGATGATGTTATTACAAACTATTTTAGGTTAAGTGAATGGTTATGATTAGCAGTTTATTACTGAAGATGGAAAATGTCCTAATGAAAACAAAGGGGTGTTACTTTTTGTTTGTGATGTAACACTTTACAAGCAGTGCTTAATACCAGTTGCATTGCATCCATTAAGATCTTGTTTAAACAGAAAAATAGATGTTTAGGGGCATTTCTTTGAAGAGACAGTATACGCCAAAATAAAAAATAAATAAATAAATAAAAATACATATTTTTTCTCTTACCCATAGTGCTATTTATCAGTCTTGAGTGTTGGAGATTTCGGCCGTACTGATGTCTGCCTTCTCTTGAATATAATGGAACTAGATGGTACTTGGCTTGTGGCGCTCTAAGCCCCAATGAAAAAAAAACGAAAGTAAGAAAAAGAAAAAAAATGAAAAAACCAATGCCTTTTCCAGAGATCATGATGCGGTTACTGAAAATAATCCACAGACCTTTCATGTAGGAACTATTTCCTGTTTGCAGAACTACACCTGCCTAACAATATCACCACCAAGAAGGAAGTGTGCATCTACTCATGGACGAGAGGCTCGTGGTCATGGCAGTGTGAGATGTAAACATTAATGGCATCCTCCTCAGCTGAGCTGTAACGCTAGCTAGCTCAGTGATGCTACGTGAGTTAGCAGTAGATGCATGTTTCCTTCTGCATGGTGATACAGTTGGTGGGTGTAGTTTGAAAGAAAATAATTCCTACATGAAACTGCTCACAACAAGGTCTGTGGATTATCTTGAGTAACCGGGTCCTCATTTCTGGAAAGAGACATTGCTGTTGAGTTTTTCAATTTTATTTATTTATTTATTTATGTTTGTTTCTTTGAGCACCAGAAGCCAAGTTCCATCTAGTTACATTATATTGGAGAGAAGGCATCTCTAAGGCCGATATCTCCAACACTCAGCAACTTGCACCAAAACAATCTGATAAATAGCACTATGGGTAAATATGGATTTACTGTCCCTTTAACCTGGGATTTTTGTTGTATTTATTAATGATGAAAGGTACATGAGAGTATAAATGTGTGATAGTGTGATTTATGACACTTCATTTTGCATTGGAACTTATACTTGGCATTGATTTGTATGAAACATACAAGAGAAAATCACCTTGATTTCTTTTATGAATAGCGAGTGCATTTCAGCACTTTTTCTGTTCCACTGACCACTTTAACTTTCAAAACCTAGTGGGAGTTAGTAATGCAAGATTGTTTCAGTCCTATCACATGGTTAGTATAGTGTCTTGATAACTTCTATACCTTTGAATGACTTGAGGTGTTATGATGCCAAAACCTTAGCTATGATAATCAATTAGATTCTTGCAGAGTAAAAAAAGAAAATGTGCTTGCTTTTCAGCATCATTAATTCAGCCTGGTGTTTACTGAATACTACAGAAGAACTCCCCTCAAAAGTGTTGCAGATACTTCCCCACCAATAAACCAGTGAACCTGCTGCATGGCATGTTAAATGGTTGATTTATAGACTGTGTTAAGCAGGCTACAAAACCAGACGACAGTGGCAGAAAGTCAGCTGAAAAGTTCCACGAGCATTTCTCTTCTATACAGACAAGCAAAAGGGTGAATAAAACATGAAAATGTGCATGCATGACTGGTTTCAAGCTATAATGTGTTCATTTTTATGGGGCTTTTGCTTGAGTTCCAATCATGTAAATGCAGCCTGAGCTTGCTAATTTCAATGGCTCTTCTTTTCTGGGCAAATATGTCCACAAATTATGTACGCGTTCAATACAAAGGCAGATGTTTAATGCCACATATGGAAACAATATGGGCTCAAATGGACATTAGCTCATATGTTTTTTATTGTTATCACACAGCGTGCAATGTTGAAGATGGACTCAATAAATCACATGGGAGACTAGATACTTAGAGAAGATGGTGTTCAGCCTGCATTGCATAGGTCAGTCATTTAGACTCTGCTGCTGTTAGTTCTGCACTAAATGAGGAAATGCAATAAAAAGCAAGCAAGGCAATCAAGAACCATCCTTTACCAATATTAACATGGCCTTATTTTTCACCAAAAACCATTGTTTTGTAAGTGAGCAAATCAACACTTTCATTCTGAACATTTCATAAACATAGTGCAAGTGCATTTTAAAGTGTTGTATAGGAAGTTCAGTGGCCTGAGAGCAGTTGTTGTGTTACAGTCTTAGCCACTGATCATGCTAAAACCATGGGATTCATAGGGACATCTGAAGCATGAACAGGTCTTATTAAAACCAACCCGAGTCATAGCAAATTGAACATTTTAGCATTGACACTGAAACTATCATTTAGTAGAGACTCTTCACACAAGATACATGATCCATATTTTTTCAGAAAAGAAGAAACAAACCTGCTGGCATGTTTTCTACAACCCAAAGAGAGGACCTGTAGGGTTTTTACATGACACAGTAGCTCTTTGTTTGTCACCATCATGTAACTGCACCTTCTTCTTCTTCAATAATAAAACTTTGTACATCACTGAAAATCACCTCTTTGGTCTCCTGTTTTTGCTGTATGTTGTGTCAATGAAGCAATACTGTGTCGTGTTCAAACAAGACTGTGAGAAGCGAATCAGCTGTGTGGTGTAACAGTGGGCACGTATCAGTAGATGGCAATCAAGAGCTGCAGTTGAGTGGAGAGTCTTTGTTAAAACATATGTGATGGGAGCTGAGATAGAATAAAGATCTGCAACAAAATTTCTTCATCTGATTCATATGTTTAACTACAGACTTTTTTTGCTTTATTATAAAGTGTGAAGGTTTTAATGTGTAACTTATATAAATATTATATTTGCACTATTATTTACTATATTACCAAATAGAAAGGATAAGCACCAGCTGGGGGCTTTCATTGTAACCCTTAGGGCAACCCAAACATTGTTCTTATTAGCTATGGTAGGTACGTTTTTTGTTGGGGTTTTTTTTTTGGACAAATATGACTTTTTTTTTTTTTAACAACCATCACTATATCATAACAGTTGTGCATGAGACAAGATAATCTGTAAATAAAAAAAACACGCTCCTCTGTCTCTTTGCAGTGCTCCTAATGGTCTTTGCAAGAATCACAAAAACAACCAGTCAGAGCCGAGGAGTCTCTCACACAGCCGTCAATCATGTCAATCACTGCTCATGAACAGCAGTCAAACTGTCAAACTATGCAGCGCTGATCAAATATAAATCAAGACTCTGTTACTGCATTGCTTATTTCTTGCCTCAAATGCTTTCAGAAACATATTTTAGCATACTGTTAAGTTTGAATTAAGAAAGTTTGCTGCGGTAAGTGGGCAGTGCTTCGTTTCAGCTTGACTTTTTTCAGTATGGTAGCCGGGTCACAAACTTTCTCAACGCAGTCACATAATCTTGACTTGTTTTTGATGAGCACTACCTAGTTTGACAGTTTGGCCACAGTTCACAAGCAGTGAGTGACATGATTGACAGATGTTCTCTGTGAAAATGGCCTGTGATTGGTCAAACTCTCCTGTCACAGGTTAGACTATTTAAAGCCTTAAAACAGAGCCAAGCAGACGTGCAGAAGTCTAGTGCTCTCTCAGACCACTTGAAATACAATATGTTCAAAGGCTATTGTGGGATTTTTGCCCAGTGACACCAAAATGAAACTGGGTACCTTAGCTGTAATAACGAATTCATTAACCATTAATAACATCATTAGTTACTGCGTCTAACCTCTTCATATATGACTTATGAGAAAGTGGTGCCTGGAAAAGCTGTCTATGGGATTGTGGAGCCTGACTGCAGGGATTTGTTCCAATTCTGCCACAAGAGCATTAGTGAAGTCACAAACTGCCAATGGGCATTAAGGCCCGGCTCACAGTCTGTGCTCCAGTTCATCCCAAAGGTGCTGGATGGGGTTGAGTTCAGGGCTCTGCAGGTTGATCAAATTCTTACACACCAAATTTAGAAAAACATTTATTTTCAGACCTCGCTTTCAAAGGGGCCATCCCCAAAATGGTGCAACAAAGCTGGAAACACTTTATTGATCAATTGTAACATGCAACATAAACATTACCTAGAGCTAAGGGGCCAAACTATGAAAAACAGCCCTAGACTAAATGTACACAAATGCATGTGGTGTGTCCACATAGATTTGACCATATAGTTTCATGACCATATAGTTTGTCGTGTTGTAAGATGTGTTGCTCTGCTTACAATAAACACAGGCCGTTAACATTACATTTGCAAACAAACAATAGAAGAGACAGCAGCGCGACTGCAACCTGTTCCACTACTTCAAGTAATTTCTTGTTTAACTTTTGTTGTGTCTTACCCGTCAGTCATGTAATAATTTGTGATTTTAAAGCAGCTGTGCGGAACTTTCCATTTTCGTTGATTATAGCGCCCCTTTTGGTCGAAGCGGTATGACACCCACAGTCTGGTGTCGTAAAATTCCGCCTGCAGCCTTTGGCCCCATTCGTACAATCTCGACTGCAGCCGACAATTACCGCATGCATTTGTTTTGGAGAGCGAGAGGAAAACATAAATGTTCTGGTGCAGCTCTGAATTTCTTATAAACTGAGGACAGCTGCTGCTGTATATTTGTGTTCATGGTCACATTCACAGATAATTTTGTGGCGTTTATTGTAATGTTACTAGACAAAAGTTCACGTCAGCTAACGTTACATTTAACTTGCTTATAACTTCCATGTCGTCATATATTGAAGTGCAACAACGTCTAACAAGTTAACGGTATATTCTCTAAATAAAAACAAAAATTACATACCTGTCGATTAGGAAAAGGGCCAACTCGGAATCAGTTTTAAAACCTTTCAAATCTCTCAGCTCTCTCCACTTGGTGAATGCCCGACCGAGGTTTACACGGGGTCATCCCTGTTCCCCGGGTTCTATGTTCCCCAGGTTCTATGTTCCCCATTTAACCCTGCAAAAAGGTTCTATGTTCCCCGCTTACACAAAAAAGGCTCTATGTTCCCCGCATATCCAAAAAAGGCAGGAAACATAGCAGTTGCATTAATATGTTGTTTTAACATCTCTAAACACACACACACAACGGAACATAATGGGGAGAAATTACAATCATAAACTTACCCTTTGGGCGATCTATGGTGGGCAATCTGGGCAATTATATCCTTTACAGAAGGTTTTTTAATCCAGCCGTTAAATGCAGTGTTTCAGTCAGTGCAGATTTCTTCGAGCAGCCAAAGACCAACTGGTAAGAAAAGAATAATTATCATGGCCGAAATAAAGATAAATAAGCTGTTAAGTGCAGCGTGTATTCTGGAACTCTGTTCAGTAAATCCACCATGATTATTTATTAGTTTTGTGATAAAAATAAATGTGTCTGTGGGTGCGTCCCAAGTCTCTTATTTTATACTGCTAACTCCTAACTCCTTACTTGAACCGGAAGTCGTTAGAGCTCCGCCATCTTTAAGGCCGTCTTATGTCTCTTATTCCTGCCAGTAAGGAGTTAGCGTTAGGCGTTAGGAGGGATCTGTTAGGTGCGATGAGTAAGGTAACACGAGAGGTTCCTAACAGGAAGTCTTTTTCAGCTTGAGGCCATGACGTATAAATACCCGCCCCCTACGTCTGTCTCAG